AAACAACTTAACTGTGAAAACTTCGGTCCACTGCGGCATCATATTGGTTCTTACACTTAAATACAACACAGGTGCTAGGCATTTTTACTAATTGTCTTGCCTAATCTCAAGGACCTCGGAATAAAACCTTCTTTCTTATCTAGATTTCAGTGCGCGAGTCGGGCATTCGCACAGCGCAGGTAGACCACAGTTCTGCCGCGAGAGAGGGCTCCTATCAGGCGTGCGGTGCCGCCCACAGAGCATCCTCCATTACTTTTAATCTCCTTGGGTTAACCACTTCAATGCCTTTTAGCCACACTATCTTACTACAGGCAGCGTAACGCGAATGGTTGGCTTCGGCATTGAAGGCTGACCAGGTTCTCAGTGAGGTGAATGAAAATCAGTGTGAAACGCGACAATAGACAAACATGTGCTTAAAATGGGTGATGGAGCACTCTTGCATGGGCTCACTGTAATTTGCCGACAGGGAATCTTACTTAAATTCAATGCATTTTTTGCTGTTGTTGCTTGTTTGGAGAGTTTACCCGTTTGTTCTGGCACAATCAGTGGAGAGACCCTCGGCGACATTTTGGAGAGAGCAACAGAGCATCAATGAACATATCCGGAATTCAGGGATGTTGCTTCCTGAAACAATGAACAATGAATCCGTTTGTTCTAACAAAGGAAGATACATCATTTACAGAACGCATTAATTCTTTCCATAAAAAATGAATTACATTCATATTTACCCAGCAATACAGACAGTGGGATTACTAATTGTGTTCTTTATTTGCAACAGATAAGAGATATTTTCCTCATACTGCTAATGTTTGGCACATATTTAGGATACAGTGGAGTCCACTTATAACGAGTCCTGAAACAACGAGAAGTCTGTTATAAAGACATCATTCTAAAACCCCATTTTTTTCCCTTCTTTATCTTTGTAAATAAAATACTGCTATTGCGCAATCACATAAATGCGCGAGTCGGTTATAGCGGAATATAGCTGCTGCTGTGCACAGTGCAAAGGTCATTTATTCAAGCAAAACCTCGCCAGTTGAGAAACTTGTTGGTTATCAAGCGAAACAAAGAAAGGGAGTGCCCATGTGTGCCAACGATGAAGGCTGGAGCGAATGAGTGGGGAGTGTGTGGCACGCGCAGACACACCATTGTGAAGCAGAACGCATTGCCTGATAGTGATAGGCCAGCCTAGTCTAGATTATCTAGGCCTAGGTATTCTATCATGCCTCTCACTTCTCCGATGCGGGGATGGAGAGGTCACAGTGCTGTGATTGATCATAGAGCGAATGTGTGACGTGCGCAAGCAGACGCGGGAACGCACCTCAGGGTGTGGTGGGGGGGGGGGGGGGGGAAACACAGCGGGCGAGTTAGCCTAGAGAACTTTCGTTCTGATAGCCAACGCCGAGCTGTCAACATCGCTAACGCTAGAGTAAGAAACCTGATTCAATTTTTGATCAAGTAAGACCTAGAGGTCATGTTGAACAAAGCCATCATCGGAGGGGATAACAAAAAGAAATAAACAGAACACCAAACTCATAGAATAG